GGGATCTAGTGATCAAATTCAGGCTGTCAGGTTTCTGAGACAAATGCCTTTACCCGCTGAGCCATCTTGCTGGCCCATTTTCTCCCCCCCCCATCTCTCTCTCTCTCTCTCATTCTCTCTCTCTCTCTCTCTCTCTCTCTCTCGCTCGCTCTCTCTCTCTCTCTCGCTCGCTCTCTCTCTCTCTCTCTCTCTCTCTCTCTCTCTGTGTGTGTGTGTGTGTCTGTCTGTCTGTCTGTCTGTCTGTCTCTGTGTGTGTCATAAAGGTAAGAGCACAGGTTGGCCTTGAACTCTCTTTTAGGGAAGGATTATGCTGAACCTTCAGCCTCTGCCTCTCATGAGCTTTTGGGATTGTGTGTCTGTGCCACCACACCCAACTCCAACTTCCATACAAAATAATCTTAACTGGGTAGAGCTCATGCTTGGCATTTATTAATTGTGTGTTCGAGCATGTGTGTGCCATGGTGCACACGTGGAGGAGGTAAGAAGGCAAATTGCAGGAATGGGTTCTTTCTACCATGTGAGTCCTGGGGGATTGAAGTCAGGCTGTCAGGCTTACTGCCAAGTACCCCTGTCTGCTGATCCATCTTGTCAGCCCTAGGGGAAGAGTATCTGTAGCTAAGATGATTATGGAACTGTAAAATATTTGAAGCATTAATTATTTGTTTGTTTGGGGCTTTTAAAAACATGTATGTAGGGCTAAAGAGATGGTTCAGACGTTAAAGGCTAGGCTCACAACCAAAAAAAAAAAAAAATGTATGTAGCCAGCCAGTGGTGGCTCATGCCTTTAATGCCTTTAATCCCAGCACTTGGGAGGCAGAGGCAGGTGGATCTCTGTGAGTTCAAAACCAGCCTGGTCTACAGAGCGAGTTCCAGGACAGCTAGGGCTGTTACATAGAGAAACCCTATCTCAAAAAACAAACAATCAAACAAAAACCCGTGTGTGTGTGTGTGTGTGTGTGTGTGTGTATGTCTATGTTAATTTATGAGCACCCAAATGTTCAGGAGCCCATAGACACCAAAAGAGGGTTCCAATTCCTTGGAGCTGAAGTTGCAAATGTCTGTGAGCTGCCCTCTGGGTGCTAGGACTTGAACCTGGGTCTTTGCAGAGCAGCCACTGCTCTTAGCCACTAAGCCATCCCTGCAGCTCCCTGTTTTGGGGTTTTTATATGGGGTCTGTGTAGCTCAAACTGATCTTGAATTCCTGCCTCAGTCTCCCAGGTGTTGGAATCACACATATATATGTGCCATCCTGCCCAGATTTCTCTTTCTTTACTTTGGGAGCCAGAGTCTAACTATGTAGCCCTGGCCTTCAGAAGGACAATGAATTCATAGGGATCCACCTGTCTCTGCCTTCCCAGTACTGGGATTAAAGGTGTGTGACATCACACCCTGCATAGCATTTTTTGTTTTAAGCGTTTCTTTATACCAGGAATAAGAACCCTCACAATGAGCTCCCAGTCTCCACAAAAAAAAGTGACAGATATAGTCTAGAAATTAAGAAATAAAAATGGGGCTAGAGAGATGACTCAGAAGTTAAGAGCACTGACTGCTCTTCCAGAGGACCCAGGTTCAATTCCCAGCACCCACATGGCAGGTAACAACTGTCTGTAACTCCAAGATCTGCCCCCTCACATAGACATACATACAGGCAAAACACTGTGCAAATAAAATAAAAATAAATAATTTTTTTAAAAAAGAAATAAAAAGGCATTCTTTGATGATGTTTTATGTTTAAAAAAGGGTAGGCGTTGGTGGCTCACACCTTTAATCCCAGCACTCGGGAGGCAGAGGCAGGTGGATCTCTGTGAGTTTGAGGCCAGCCTGGTCTCCAGAGCGAGTGCCAGGATAGGCTCCAAAGCTACACAGAGAAACCCTGTCTCGAAAAGAAAAAAAAAAAAAATAGAAAGAAATTCAAAGCAAAATAGTTCCTAGAGAAATTCTGGGAGTAAATAGCTAACAGGAAAATTATACAGGAAGAAAAAAATATTAACACACTTGAGATGGGGGTCACCTCTGGTGGGAGAAGAAAAATAAATCACACTGGGGAAGGGCTTGATTATGGCTTTAAAGCTACTGAAATTGTTACATTTCCAGTTTTTGTTTTTGTTTGATTCTGGTTTCTTTTTCTTCTCTCTGTCCCTGAAATAGGGTCTCACTGTATAGCTCTGCCTAACCTAGAAGATGAATGTAGACCAGGCTAACCTCCCAAGTTCTGGGATTAAAGTGTGCACCTTAGGCCACCATGTGGGCAGCGACTACTTTTCTTTTTGTGAAGACAAGTGTTCCTTTACTGTTCTGAAAATTCCAAGATTGATTTTAGGTGTTTCTTTGTTTATATGAAGTAACTGCCTGTTTTCTCTTACTGCAACAAAATACTCAAGGCTGAATGTTTGTAAAGAAAAAGTGGGGCTGGAGAAATGGCTCAGTGGTTAAGAGCACTGGCTGCTCTTCCAGAGGACCTGGGTTCAGTTCCCAGCAACCACATGGCAGCTCAGAGCTGTCTCTCACTCCAGTTTCAGAGGATCCAACACCCTCATACAGATGTCCATACAGGCAGACACCAATGCACATAAAATAAAAACAAATACACAAAAAAATAGAAAGAAAAAGAAAAGAGGGCAGGGTAGTGGTGCACACCTTTAATTCCAGCACTCAGGAGGTAGAGGCAGGATCTCTCTGAGTTTGAGGCCAGCCTGGTCTCCAGAGTGAGCTCCAGGATAGACTCCAAAGCTACAGAGAAACCCTGTCTCAGGAAAGAAAGAAAGAAAGAAAGAAAGAAAGAAAGAAAGAAAGAAAGAAAGAAAAGAAAAGAAAAGAAAAGAGGGACCGTGAGCTGGTTCTACAGGTAAAGGAACTCGCTGCCAACCCTGACCCACCTGGTTAGACCCCGGCTCTAACCAGTGGTTAGAAGGAGAGAACAGACTCTCCCAAATTGTCTTCTGACCTCCAGGTGTGTGCCATGGCACATGTGCACTGGGAGTGCGGACTCTCGGGCACACACACACACAACCACACACTAAACAAATAGAATGTAAAGACTTGGACAAAGAAAGAAAGAAAGAAAGAAAGAAAGAAAGAAAGAAAGAAAGAAAGAAAGAAAGAAAGAAAGAGGTCTAAGGGTGATTTTGCTTTTGTTTGCGGCCTCACTGTGCAGCCAGGCTGACCTCAAAGCTGACACAATCCTCCTGCTTCAGCCTCCCTAGTGCCAGGATTACACGAATGAGCTACCATATCAGGCTACAGAAGAGATGTTCTTAGCTTTGCTTTGGAGGTTAAAAGTCCCAAAGCAGGTGGCCCCATCTGTTCCTCCCCTGGGAGGCCCTTTGGTTGGGTCACAGTGTGTCAGACAAGTGGAAACAGAGGATGCCACCATGCCATCCCTGGTGGCATGTACTGACTCCCTGTTCTGAAGGGTAGGAAAGCAAAGAAAGAATAAACTGCTGTCTTCAAAGAGTCGGGGGAGCATGGGACGGTCTTTCTGCACAAAGACCCAAAGGGCTGGGATTGCTCAGTAAGACACCCTGCCCCACCTAGGCCTGTGTTCCTCTCAGCACTCTCCCCTAAAAGAGCCTAGTCCCCGTCTCTCTCTGTGTGTCTCTATTTATTTAAGGTTCTATTTTATTTATATGTGTGTGCATGTGTGCCAGTGCCCCTGGAAGCCAGAAGAGGGTGTCAGGTCCCCTGAAGCTGGAGTCACAGGTGGTTGTGAAGCACCTGGTAGACTGGTCCTCTGCAAGAAATCAGACTCTTAACTGCTGAGCATCATCCAGTCCCAAACAACCCACTCTGGAGAGAACCAGCCAGGGTCCCTGGAGAACATCAATCCCTTCCCAGGGAAACACTCCTCACAATGACCTAATTTTTTTCCCACTAGGCCAAACTTCTTACAGGTTCTACCACTCCCCTCCCCAGCCACACCAGGCCCCAGGCCCAAGCACACACCTCTGTGGACACTCCAGCCTATCCAAACTATAGGTTACCATGCTTGTTTGGGGAGGCTGGGAGTGGACTTGGGTCCTCACCCATCTTAGGCAAGTGCTCCACCACTGAGTCATATGTCCTGGTCTTATACAGTATTTTGATTTGGTTTTAAGACAGTGTCTGGGGCCAGACAGTACACACCTTTAGTCCCAGCACTCGGGAGGCAGAGGCAGGTGGATCTCTGTGAGTTCGATACCAGCCTGGTTCGAGACCAACAAGAGCTAGTTCCAGGGCAGCCTCCAAAGCCACAGAGAAACCCTGTCTTGAAAAACCAAAAAAAAAAAAAAAAAAAACCAAAAAAAAAAAAAAAAGAAAAGAAAAGAAAAAGATAAGTTCTGGGGTGTGGTGGCATACTCCTGTAATCTCAGCACCTAGGAGGTAGAGGCAGGAAAATCAGGAGTTCAAAGCTGACCTTGGTTACATGGCATGTTTTGAGACCAGCCTGGGTTACATGAAACTGTGTCAAAAAAAAAAAAAAAAAAAAAAAAAAAAGGCTGTTTAGTCCAGGCCTCTTGAGGGCTGGTATCATACACAGGTAAAATACATAGCTACATAAAGCACCTACTTTATTTTATTTTATTTATTTATTTTGGTTCTTCAAGACAGGGTTCTGTGTAGCCATTTCTGTCCTAAAAGTAGCTCTGCAGACCAGAATAGCCTGGAACTCACAGAGATCTGCTTGCCTCTGTCTCCCAAGTGCTGGGATTAAAGGCATGTGCCACCACCACCCAGCTGATTTTTTAAAATTAATTTTGAAATGTATTACATTTTAAAATTTTATTTTGTGTAAATATGTAGTGCACACATGTCCTGGTCTACTTGTGGAGGTGATAGGTTAGTTTTATGTCATCGGTTCTCTCCTTCCACCTTTACTGGGTTCTGGAGACAGAGTCTCTAGTCTTTGGGCTTCCAGCCCCATGAATAATTAACATAAAAGAAGAAGATGTATACAGCTGGCACAGCAGCACACACCTGTTCTTCTTAGCAGAGGCAGGTGGATCTCTGAGTCCCAGACCAGCATGGTCTACGTAATAAGCCCATGTCTCAACAAAGAAAGAGGTTATACCCAGACTGAGCTGCACAGTGAGTTCAAGGTCAGCCTGTATACAAAGCCAGAAATCTCCAGATCAAAGAGACCAACAAATAGCTAATCCCAGCACTGAGGAGGCAGAGGCAGTGGAATCTCTGTGAATTCTAGGCCAACCTAGTCCACAGAGGAATTCAGGACAGGACAGCAGGGCACAGAGAAACCCTGTCTCAGGAAACAAAACAAAACAAAACAAAACAAAACAAATAATGAAAACAGTTATCCTTCCCTTTGACTAAGTCCATATCACATCAGACATGACATAATCATCCCCCAAACCCCTCTTTCCAGTGATGGGGACTGGGCGGTGAGCGGGTACGACCTGTTTTCTCCAGCAGATACTGGGGGCCATGGAGTCTCAGGTTGGGGGGGGGCCGGCCGGCCCGGCCCTGCCCAACGGGCCACTCCTTGGGACAAATGGAGCCACTGACGACAGCAAGACCAACCTCATCGTCAACTACCTACCCCAGAACATGACACAGGACGAGTTCAAGAGTCTCTTCGGCAGCATTGGAGACATTGAGTCCTGCAAGTTGGTTCGGGATAAGATCACAGGTGTGGCTCTTTCTGTGTGTGGCCTTGGGTGGCAAGCAGGGAGGAAGCACCCTTGGAGAAACAAGTGTGACTTGGGTGGGTACCTCAGGATGGATAGAGCCAAGTGGCTCTCTGGGGAACACATTATTATGGGAAGGACAAATCAGAGTGGGAAGCTGCAGCGTGCAAGGTGTGCTGGGGACCCTGCGCAGATTAGGGAAGTCACTCTTGTGGTCCTCCCACAGGGCAGAGCTTGGGCTATGGGTTTGTGAACTATTCTGACCCCAATGATGCAGATAAAGCCATCAACACCCTCAACGGCCTCAAATTGCAGACAAAGACCATCAAGGTGAGTGTTCCTACCTATGTGACACCTGCCCCTCACTGCCATCATTCCCTCTATTCCTGAAGCTTTGGTTCTCTCTTCCTTACTGGACACCTGGCTTTATTTCTCTGAGCCTTTGAGAGATTACTGTGTTTTTATTTTACTATTCTGTGTATATGTATGCATGGGCACACTATATGTGTGCCACTATATGTGTGGAGACTAGAGCAAACGTGTGGGAATGGGTTTTCTCCTTTCACTATGTTGGTTCCACGGACCAAAATCAGATGATCAGTCAGCCTTGGCGCCAACTGTCTTTACCGGTTGAGCTATACTCCCTGTCTGGCGACATGCTACCGACAGTAAGTCCTGTGTTCTTTGGAAGACTTAGGGAACCTGCCAGGCCCAGGAGGTAGGACAGAGTGACCAGGACCCAATGGGCAGACCCCTCCCTCTCTTTGTCCTGGAAAAGGGGGTGGGGCGCATCTGCCATCTGGAATCCAATTAGGGACTGGGGAGGGGGAGGGATGAGGCAGCCCCTCCTCCACCTTTGTGCATTGTCCCTCCCCCATGGCCTCCCTTCTCAGCAGCTGCAGCTGGGACCATGTGAGCCCAAGTTCCCTTGGGAAGAATCACCATGGAAACCCCCCCTCTCTGAGTTGGCCTGGGGGTGTTTGGGCTCCTCCCTTCAAATCTGCTCCAGGACCCCTGGGGAGGCCAGGCTGAGGGTGCCCATCTGGCCCCCAATTTATCATGGGAACAGAAGTAGAGGAATCTTTTCCTCTCCCCAGAATGGGGGAAGGGGAAAATTGGTACCACTGGATGAGTCTGTCTATGGTCAGCTTGATCCAGAAACCCAGGGGCATGAGGGTAGACAACAGTGACTAAGTAAATCTGCAGGTGTGTGCTAGGCAGTGGATCCTGACTCAGTGGTTGTGGGACAGTGTCTATGCGGGTGACTGTTGTGAGACGGGTCTGGATAATTAAGGTTTGAGGTGTAGGGCTGAGAGTGTGGCTCAATGGTAGAGTCCTTACCCAGCCTGAGTTCCTTCTACAGCACAGATATGAACAAATGAATGCCTGGGGGCAGAGCCTGGAGAGATAGCTAAGTTGTTTGTATTGCTTTGAAGACCTAAATTTGATTCTCAGAATTCTAATAAACAAGCCTGGTGTATAAACCCAGGCATGGTGGCACATAACTTTAATCCCAGGACTCAGGAAGTAGAAGCAAGCAGATCTTTGTGAGTTGGGGCCAGCCTGATCCATGCAGCAAGTTCCAGGTCAACCAGAGCTATATATTGGGATGCTGTCAAAAAGAAAAGGAAGAAAAAGAGGAGGAGGAGAAGAAGAAGGGGGGAGGGGGAGGGGAGGAGGAGGAGGGCAGATTTGGTGGCCTTTGCCTGTAACCCCAGTGCTGAAGATGAGGCAGGTAGATCCCTGGCATTCTATCTCAAAAGTGCACAGCCCCTAGTGACTCATAAGGTTGGCCCTGGCCTACACAGGCACACATACTCATGCACAAGATTTGAGGACTACGGTTCAGTTTCCACAAGTAGCACTTACCCAGCATGCACGAAGGCCTGGCTTGGCTCTCTAGTACCACATACACGGCCTGGTGGTACAAACCTGTAATCCCGGCATTCTAGATGTGGCAGCAAAAAGATCAGATGCTCAAGATCATCTCTTGCTTCACAGCAAGACTAGGCTACATAAGACCATCTCAAAAACAAACAGCAAAAACGACTATGAGTGTGTAGAACCTGGTGTTAATGTGACATGTGCTTTGTGACACTACAGTTCCTCTTGTGGCTTCCGGGGTACACTAGGTGATGTGTCTGGTGAAACAAACAAGTATTTGTGTGACTTAGAATGTGTGTGTGTGTGTGTGTGTGTGTGTGTGTGTGTGTGTGTGAGAGAGAGAGAGAGAGAGAGAGAGAGAGAGAGTGAGTGTGTGTGTGTGTGAACCTGTGCTGTGGGTTGGTGCATGGTCAGCAGTGATGGTTTTCTTACTGTAGTTCTGGAGGACCCAATAGTATGAGCACGGCAGTGACTTTATAAGACACCCTCTAGCTAGTTTTGTCACCAAAGCTGTGCAGTGGGTGGGTTTGTGTCCTGTGACTATGCTGATCAGGCCTGAGTGTCCTGGCAGATTTGGGCAAAAGTGGTTTCAACTACTTGGATGTCCCAATGTGAATCCTGGTGTGGGGTCCATGAAAAGACAGCTACATCACCAAGGCTCACCCAGCATGAGTGACAGTCACAAAGCTGGAAACCTGGAGCACACTGCACAGCCTGCAGGCAGCTGCACAGGGTGGAGTGTGTCCTTTCCAGGTGTCCAGGTGGCCTAAACCTCCTCCAGGCAGCTCCGCTGGTTTCTGCTTCTTCCAGGCAGCTGGTCTGGCCTCAGAGTCTCCTTTGCAGTTCTGTTCTGCAAGTCTCAGAGGAACTCTCAGCTCTTATTGCTTACTCTAGCAGGGAGGGACCTGCTGAATCTGGTCGGTTCCAGGGACTTGCTGAAGCTAGTTTGAGTTACTTACCTTCCTGCTGAAGGGGCTTCCCATGGGGATGGAAAGTTTCAATCTTGGAGGAAACTGTTACACACAGGGGTAAGGAGCTGGCTGCAAAGCACAAGGCCCTAAATTCAAATCCCCAGAGCTCACGTAGAGACACACCTGTTTGTGGGCACTTGCAGGTAGGGGGGACAGGAGGATTTCCGGAAGCCAGACGTGCTGCTGTCCATAGCAGCACACCAGAGACCAAGGTGAGGTAAGTAAGGGCCAGCACTGCGGCCGTCCCTTCTCTCACACTGCAGCACTGCGGCCATCCCTTCTCTCTCACACTGCAGCACTGCGGCCATCCCTTCTCTCTCACACTGCAGCACTGCGGCCATCCCTTCTCTCTCACACTGCAGCACTGCGGCCATCCCTTCTCTCTCACACTGCAGCACTGCGGCCGTCCCTTCTTTCACACTGCAGCACTGCGGTCGTCCCTTCTCTCACACTGCAGTGCTGCAGCTATCCCTTCTCTCACACACTGCAGCACTGCGGCCATCCCTTCTCTCACACTGCAGCATTGCAGCCGTCCCTTCTCTCACACACTGCAGCACTGCAGCTGTCCCTTCTCTCACACTGCAGCACTACGGCTGTCCCTTCTCTCTCACACTGCAGCACTGCGGCTGTCCCTTCTCTCACACTGCAGCACTGTGGCCGTCCCTTCTCTCACACGCTGCAGCATTTCCTGTACATAGCTCCACACAGAGGCATAAAAAAGATAGGAAGATCCTCCTGTGCCTTACATGACCTGAGACCTAAGATACCACCCCTAGCTGGGTGCAGCGGCACATGCCTGTAATTTAATCACTCAAGGCTGAGGCAGGGGGGTTGCTGTGACTTCCAGGCTGTCTAGGACTACATAGTGAGACCAAAACTTACCGTTCCTACCTGGGCCAGGTGGTGTACCCCTCTGATCCCTGAACTCTGGATCTCTGTGAGCAGAAGGTCAGCCTGGATACAGTGAGTGCTCCAGACCCCCTCACCCCACCCCGGGCTATATAGTGAGATATGTCTCATAAACAGTAACAACAACAACAACAACAACAACAAACAAACAGTCAAAACCCTCAGTCCCATGGTGGAGTTAGGAAACTTCAACACGTGCCTGCAATTTTTATTTAGTGTGTGTGTGTGTGTGTGTGTGTGTGTGTGTGTGTGTGTGTGTGTGTGTACATAGCTTCAGGTGGCCTGGAACATACTGTGTGGACCAAACAGGTCTGAAACTCACAGGAAGCCATGCCTGCTCTGGGATGACAGGAGTGCACCCCACACCCAGTCATGTGGAGAAAAGATGGAGGTGTTTCCTGCTTGCTCCCTGAGTGGAAGTTGCAGTCCTAATCAGTTACTTCCTTTTAAAAGCTTCTTTACATTTACTCACGTGTGTGTGTGTGTGTGTGTGTGTGTGTGTGTGTGTGTGTGTGTGTGTGTGTGTGTGTGTAAGCCAGAGGACAACTTTGAGAGTCAGTTCTCCCCTTCCACCTTGTGAGTCTGAAAGATCAAATTCAGGTTATCAGACTTGATGGCAAGCACCCTTACCTCTCCATCTCAACAGCCCCTGATTAGTTATCTGTAATGAAGCACTGCAGCTCCACAGTGCATCTCCCCAAACAATGGTCTCTATCTACCCCAGATTTAGAGGTTTGAATAGAAGCAGCAGAAAGCAGACCTCAGCAGAAGGGAGGGGGAGGGGTGTTCACCACCCTCCCAACACAGAGACTGGTCACCCCATTAACACTTGTGGGCGGGGCCTCTGTGCTGAGTCTCCAGGACATTGATAAAGACACAATGAGCTTGGGTCCGCAAACAGACTTTTCTTTCCCCCACTTCACAATACTGTCCAGTGTCTGTGCTGTGAATGTCTGAGTCCCAGACCTGTGAGCAGCTGCAAAGTTGGTGAGATGTGTCCTTATAATGACAGAAATGGAATGACCTTACCAAAGTGTATGCAATTCACAAGCCAGAGAAAAGCATCTTGAGTTAGGGCCCCTAAGAGGGTCCAGTGGGTTGAAAGGAGCTTGCTGCCAAACCTGATTACTTGAGTTTGATCACTGAGATTCACGTGGTACAGGATAGAACTAACATGCACCAGATGTCCTGTGACCTATACACACACACACACACACATACACACACACACACACACACACACACACACACACACACACACACTTGGGCTGGGTAGATGGCTCACAGGGGAAAGGTGCAGAGAACCATCTTCCTAAGCAGGTAGGTCTCTGACCTCTGCAATTAAGCATGGCATATGCACACACATGTGTACACTCAAATGTAATTTAGAGCTGTTTTCATTTTTCTGGACTCAAGAGATGGCTTAGCAATTAAGAGCACTGGTTGATCTGCCAGGAAACCAGGTTCAGTTCCCAGCACCCACAGAGCCTGCCACATTGTCTGTATCTCTAGCTCTAGGGAAGCCAGTGCTTTCTTCTGACCACTGTGGGTACTGCATGCACACAATTCGTGCACACCCACATCTGCAGGCAAAACACTCATACACATAAAATAAAAATAACCACCAGGCAGTGGTGGCACACACCTTTACTCCCAGCACTGGGGAGGCAGAGGCAGGTGGATCTCTGTGAATTCCAGCCCAGCCTTGTCTACAGAGTGAGTTCCAGGACAGCCAGAGACGCACATAGAAACCCTATCTCAAAAAACCCAATTGCAACAATAATTAAAAAAAAAACGGTAATAATAATGCAAAATAAACTTTTTAATAAAAGTTAAAATTTTTGAGCTGGGTGTGGTGGTGCACACCTTTAATTCCAGTACTGGGAAGCAGAAACAGGCAGGTCTCTGAGCTTGATTGAGGCCAGCCTGGTCTTTTACAAAGTGAGTTCCAGGACAGCCATAGCTACATAGTGAGACCCTGTCTCAAAAGAAAAAGCAAATGTTAAAAATTTTGGGCAGGGTCTCTATGTAGCCCTCGCTGTCCTGGCCTCAAACTCACAGAGACCTACCTGCTTCTCAAGTGCTGGAATTGAGAGCGGGGCTACCATATTTGGTGACTTATTTTTCCTTAAAAGGACTTTAGCTTTAAGGCAGAGGAGGGAAGGAAGGAGCCATGGAGATTTTTTTTAAGAGTTTATTTACTTATGTATACAACAATCTGCTTCCATGTATATCTGCACACCAGAAGAGGGTACCAGATCTCATAATGGATGGTTGGGAGCCACCATGTGGTTGCTGGGAATTGAACTCAGGACCTCTGGAAGAGCAGTCGGTGCTCTTAATCTCTGAGCCATCTCTCCAGCCCAGCCATGGAGAATTCTATGGTGAAGAAACTGGCTTTGGTGTTCAGCCACCCTTTGACTGCTTCATAGATTGAGGCTTGAATTTGGGAGCTGTGGTGGTCAGAGCAGGAAGAAGTGTAGAATGGGAGACAGAAGTCAGAGATTGGTGGCTTTTCTATTTTGATTTTTTTGGGTCTGAAATATTCATTATCACCGCTCCTTCTTTAGTTTTTGTTTGTTTGTTTTAAAGATTTTATTTATTATGTATACAGTGTTCTGCCTGCAGGCCAGAAGAGGGCACCAGATCTCACTACAGATGGTTGTGAGCCACCTGTGATTGCTGGGAATTGAACTTAGGACTTCTGGGACAGCAGTCAGTGCTTTTAACCTCTGAGCCATCTTTCCAGCCCTCTTCTTTGGCTTTAATTACATTTTAAATTTTATTTTACATGCATATGTAAAATAAATTTGTATTTATATGACATACAGAACTCAGTTTAAACATTATTTTATTTGCTACGTGTGTGTGACACACAGGTCAGGGAGTGAGCTCTTAGGCAGGAGGATGTCGAAGTCAGAGGACAACTTGCAGGAGTTAGTCCTCCCCTTCTACCATGTATGACCCAAGGACTGAACTTAAGTGGACAGATATGGCAGCAAGCATCTTGCCTGCTAAGCCCTCCTGTGGGTCCTGAATTTTTATTTTACTTTATTTTTTGCTTTTTAAAAATTAACTTTTTTTTTTTTAACATTCCAATCCCAGTTCCCCCTCCCTTCTCTTCTCCCCCTCTCCCCACTTCTCCCACCCCACCCACCTCCCATCTGCTCCATGGAGAGGGTAAGGCCTCCCCTAAGAAGTCTGCTAAGTCTACTAAGTCATCTCATTGAGGCAGGACCAAGACACCTCTCCACCCCCCACACCCCTGTGTTTAGGCTGAGCAAGGTATCTCTCCATATAGATATTATTATTTTTAATACAAATGTAGAGTTGTAAAACATTTGTGCAATTCGGATCCTTTTGGTTTCAGTTTGCAAAGATTACAAATAAGTCTGTTACAGTTCCTGACTACTTCACCATCCCCCACCCTCACAGGCACAACCCTGTGTTTACAACTTTGTGGGCTCAGCTCTCGTTCTGTACATGGGTCTGGGGAGCCTGCTCGGGTCCTATGCTGGGAAGACATTTCCCAGCCGAGCCCCTGCTACCCTCTCCCTTTAATGGTTTGTTTTGTTTTATATGTTTTGTCTGAGACAAGGTCTCAACTACACAGCCCTGGCTGTCCTGGAATTCGTTCTGTAGACCAGGCTGGTCTTGAACTCATAGAGGTCCACTTCCCTCTGCCTCTGGAGTACTGGGATTAAAGGTCTGTGACATCACTCCTGGCTCTTCCAAACTTTTTCTTTTCCTGAGACCCAGACTTGGGCATGACCCATTAGCTCAGACTGGCTGTGGGTGATGCCAGGGATTGCTCTGTGGCCCCTCCCAGAGCTGGGGTGACAAGTGTGCAACAGAACATTGAGCTTATTTTTTATATATATATATTTTTTTCAAGACAGGGTTTCTGTGGCTTTGGAGGTTATCCTGGAACTTGCTTTGTAGACCAGGCTGGTCTCGAACTCACAGAGATCAGCCTGCCTCTGCCTCCCGAGTGCTGGGACTAAAGGCGTGCGCCACCACCGCCCAACGAGCTTTTTTTTTTTTAAGATTTTATTTATTATGTATACAGTCTTCTGCCTGCACACCAGCAGAGAGCACCAGATCTCATTTAGGGTGGTTGTGAACCACCATGTGGTTGCTGGGAATTGAACTCAGGACCTCTGGAAGAACAGTCAGTGCTCTTAACCACTGAGCCATCTCTCCAGCCCGAGATTATCTTTTAGATAAAAATTATTATTAATTATTGTGTTATGTGTGGGGGTGAGTACGTCCGTGCCGCTGTGTGGTTGCAGAGGTCAAAGGGTGCTTTGGGAGTCATTTTCTCTTTCCACCACTGGTTTGAGGTATCAAACTCAGGCTGCCATACTTTCACAGTAGGCACGTTAGCCGTGGAGCCATCGCATGGCCTGCCTGCTTGTTTTGTTTTCTTACATGCATTCTGGGAATCTAACTCAGGTACTCAGTCTTGTGCAGCATGGAGCCATCTCCCCAGCTCCCTGCTTTGTTCTTTGAGACAGGGTAACATTTGGCCCAGGCCAGACCTGAAATAACTTTGTAGTAGAGGATGACTTAATTTCTGATCCTCCCGCCTCCATCTGCCGGGTCCTGGGATGACATTGTCCATGTGGTGCTGAGGATGGAACCAAGCTTCTTGCATGTTAGACAAGCACTCCATCCACTGAACCCCAGCCCCAGCCTTGGGCGACTTGTTATATGAACTAGTAGGGTATGGGGGGCATTTCTGAGCCTAGCCGGTTCCCATGTGCCCTCACTGTCCATTCCCCGCCTAGGTTTCCTATGCACGACCCAGTTCTGCCTCTATCCGGGATGCTAACCTGTATGTCAGCGGCCTCCCCAAGACCATGAGCCAGAAGGAGATGGAACAACTCTTCTCCCAGTATGGCCGCATCATCACCTCCAGAATCCTGCTGGACCAGGCCACAGGTCAGAATGCCAGAAAGAGAGGGTGCTCTGGGCCAGGGTCCCATGGGAGGGGACAGTGTCTGGGACCAATGCCTTCACACTCCTGGCAGGTGTCTCTCGGGGTGTGGGGTTCATCCGCTTTGACAAGAGGATCGAGGCAGAGGAGGCCATCAAGGGACTGAATGGACAGAAACCACTGGGCGCCGCTGAGCCAATCACGGTCAAATTCGCAAACAACCCAAGTCAGAAGACAGGACAGGCCCTGCTCACCCACCTGTACCAGTCCTCTGCCCGGCGCTACGCCGGGCCCCTCCATCATCAGACTCAGCGTTTCCGGTGAGCAGAGTCCCCAGACTCCTGGTGCCCCAAGCCTGAAGCTGCTCTCCCTGAGCCCATTTTCTTCAGAGTAGGGACCAAGGGATACCCCACCAGCAGGAACATGAAAGGGCGTGTGCCCAGGACATGGAGCAGGAGGTCAGGGTATGCTGGCCACTACGGTTGGCAGCAAAATGAAGTCTAACTGTGTGGCTCTCTGTCTCTGTCTCTCTGTCTCTGTCTTTCTCTGTCTCTCTCTGTCTCTATCTCTCTGTGTCTGTCTCTCTGTCTCTATCTCTCTGTGTCTGTATCTCTGTCTCTGTCTCTCTCTGTCTCTATCTCTCTGTGTCTGTCTCTCTGTCCCTGTCTTTCTCTGTCTCTATCTCTCTGTGTCTGTCTCTCTGTCTCTGTCTTTCTCTGTCTCTCTGTGTCTGTCTCTCTGTCTCTGTCTTTCTTTGTCTCTTTGTGTCTGTCTCTCTGTCTCTGTCTTTCTCTGTCTCTGTGTCTGTCTCTCTGTCTCTGTCCTTCTCTGTCTCTCTGTGTCTGTCTCTGTCTCTGTCTTTGTCTCTGTCTCTCTCTGTCTCTGTCTCTGTCTCTCTCTGTCTCTGTCTCTCTCCCTGTGTCTTGGTCATGATGTCAATTGCTGGGATAAAGCACCATGACCAAAAACAATGTGAGAAGAAAGGAGTTTATTTCAACTTATAACAAAGAGTCCACTCTGAGGGGAAGTTGGGGCAGGAAACTGGAGGCAAAAACTGAACCAGAGACCATGGAGGAACCCTGCTTACTGGCTCACTGTCCATACCTTGCTCAATCTGCTTTCAGTCCAGGCCCACTTTCGTAGAGGTGGCACCGCTCACAGTGAGCTGGACCCTCCCACATCAATCAAGATGTGGTGGGAGCATTTTCACAATTGAAGTTCCTCTTCCTAGATGACCCTAGTTGTGTCAAATTGACAAAATAAAAACAAAACAAAACAAAAAACAAAAAAGCGCCCCCCCATGAGAAAACACCTTGGACATCCTGTCCCCTATTTCTCTCTGTGTGTCTGTCCTGTCTTTTCTCCCTATCTTTCTCTGAGTCTTTCTGTAAGTCTCTCCTTATGCTGTCTTGTAGTCCTTTTGTCTGTATCTCTTTATCACCATATCTCTGTGTGTCTCTCTCTGCACCTTTGTGTTTCTGTCTTTCTCTTCTTGTCTCTGTATATCTCTGCCCCCCACCCTGCCCCACACGGGTCCAGCTGTGTCTCGATTTCCTCGTGGATAACACCACCACCAAACATTTCCTCTCGTGTATTGTATGTTGGCCCATGATCATATTCCCTGCCTGGTAACCGGGTAGAACAGAGCTTGTGCTGTGCTGTTTACTGAGATTTCTTCACCTGCGACAGAGAGTGGACAAGCCCAAAAGAAGGACCCTGGCCACTCCCAAGCAGGAGGTCAATGGGAGTTCCTGGTAGCTTTGAGGGTGGCTGTGTGCGCTTCCTATCCTCCTGTGAGCTCCTGAGGCTGTACTGCCACTTTTGTAAGCCCTCTTAAGCCAGAGATCTCAGCCCCTGGGTCCTCTGGGTGCTCCTGGCAGGGCCCACAGAGGCATCGGAAGAGCAGGACAAGATGGTTCAGGCTGGGCAGCAGGAGGGCTGGTAAGAAGCAGCCCGGAATGAGTGAGGTTCCGTGCCAGGCAGTGTCCAGCCGGGCTGGGAGCAGGCGGCTGTGGGGGTGGGGAGGACTGGCTGCCACATCACAGGGAGTGGGTCACAGGCCACTCTGACAGCTGCTTCTGTCTCCACAGGCTGGACAATTTGCTCAACATGGCCTACGGAGTCAAAAGGTAACAGTGCTCCTGCCCCACAGTCCCTTCCCCACAACTGCCTTACCTTCATGGCCTCCTTTAACCCCTGCATGTCCCTTGTCCCTGGGACCATTGGGTAACCATCTCTGCCTGTGTCTAGGAGACAATTAAGAGCAGATCAGATTACTAGAGTGTGGCTACAGAAGGTGGAGCATGGAGAGCTGTCTGTAGCTTTCACACTTTTTTTTTATCATCTCAACAAAAGTAGGGTGTAGTTGTTCCCCGCCCACCTCCCACATTAAACTGGAGAGTCACTAACAACAACTATTATTTTGTGTGCTAGGAATGGGACCCTGGGACTTCTGCATGCTAGGCTTGCACTGAGCCATGCCCCCAGGCCCTCACTGGGGGATTCAAGGCAGGGGTTCTATAGCCAAGTCATTCCTGAGTCTCATCCATCAGATACCATTGTTGGTTTTGTCAATGACCATGGAAGGGTTCCTTTCCTCCCCACAGTTGCTATAAATCTTGAAGTCGTCCTAGCTTCATTCACAACCCTGCTCTTGTGAAAGTCTCCGTGTTGATTGTATCAAAAGCTGTTGGGAACATGTTGAATATCAAAAGCTGGGCTTGAGGCCAAGGACATAGCATGGCCCGGGCAGACTTGCTCTCTCTTGGGCATGAATTCCAGACAGAACACAGTGGTTGGTACATAATAAAAGATGGCCGAATATGAACACTGTCACTGATGTTCCTGTCCTCAGTCCCACAGGGATGAGATGTGTGAGGGAATGGTGGTCAGGACAGTGCAGAGACAGATACGGGTCACATGATGGTGACCAGAAGAGGCCTAATCCATCTGTGAAGAGGCCTGGAGGGAGCCTGGCAGCAGAGACAGCTGGTGTGCAGGCTCGGAGGAAGGAGAGAACTGAGTCCTACATGGTCAAGGTTAAGGGGTTCAGACTTTCAGAGTCTTCCCCCTAAATTGAGTGATTTAATCCAGAGGGTGAGGGAGACAGTGGGAATGTGGCTTTCTATCCTTTAATTAATTGAGTCAACAAACAACCTACTAAGTGTTACCTGAGAGATGAGATATTCCAGAGACCAATGTCAGGAACATGAAAATAGCATGAAACACAGTTGTCCTTCTTATACATCAGAGGCACATCCCAAGACTCCTTGTGGATGCCTGACAACAGAGACTGACATAAAAACCTCTATAAATCTTATTTACTTAAATTTCTACTTATTTGGCTTTTTTTTTTTTTTTTTATTTATGAGGCAGCATTTCTCTGTGTAACCTGGTGTCCCGGAACTCCCCTTGTAGACCAGGCTGGCCTCGAACTCACAGGGATCCACCTGCCTCTGCTTCTTGAGTGCTGGGATTAAAGGCGTGTGCCTCTGGCCCTGGTTTATTTATTATTATTAACTATTTTGTACTGGAGAGGAACCTCAAGGCCTTGTGAATGAACACTGTACCACTGAGTTACACACCCAGCCCTCCTTATGTTTCTTGACATAGGGTCTCATGTAGTGCAGGCAGATCAGCAACTCTGAGCTGAGCAGGTCCTTGAACTCCTGCTCCTTTTGCCTTTCTCTTCTGAACGTGGGGTTGTAGGTATGTTCAGTTTATCTTCTTACTTTTTATTTTGAGCTTGTGATTCTCGTAATTTCGCAGACAGACCTGTCCTTTCCGTAGATATTGTGGCTTTACTAGCGACCCCAGCATATGATCCCCTTTCCCAATGTGAAGAACCTTTCACCTTTCCCCTAAAGAAAATCTTTTTACAAGTTTCTCTTAGGCATCTCTAAATCACCAGCATTAACCATTAATCAATTATAATAAGGGTTCCTTAACACAGAAGCTATGATTTTAGACAGTCTGATAATAAGACACCAAAGGGGCTAATGGGAGGGTAGCATATACTGCATGGATACACTGGCCAAACAATGTGACAGTTCATCATGCTACTCGAAACAGTGTACAGTCTTTCCTTTTGTTCTCCTTATTTTTCCTTTCCTTTTTTTTTTTTTAAGATTTATTTATCGCCAAAAGAGGGCACTAGATTTCATTACAGATGGTTGTGAGCCACCATGTGGTTGCTGGGAATTGAACTCAGGGCTCTTAACCGCTGAGACATCTCTCCAGCCCATTTTTCCATTTCTTATTTTTTCCTCTTCTTCCACCTCTTCCTCCTCCCCTCTCCTTTTTCTCCCCTTCCGTTTCTTCTTCTGGATAGGGTCTTACTATGTAGCTGGCTGGCCTTGAACTCACAGAAATCTCCCTATCTCTGCCTCCAGTGCTGGATTAAAGGTGTGCACTAACCACCACACAGAGTTTTGCTTCTTTTTTGTTTGGTTTGGGGTTTAAGATGATGTCTCATATATCCCAGGCTGACTTCAAACTTGAGGTATAGATGGTTGGTGATGTTGAACTCCTCACCCTTCTGTTTCCACTGCCCTAATGCTAGAATGAGCTATCATCCATCATGCTTGACTTTTTTTGTGAAGAAGGAGCAGGGACAAGGGCAGTTGGGAGCTGGGGAGATGGCTCAAGGTGACACGAGCATAAGGACCTGACTTCAGGTCTCCAGCACCCATATAAAACCCAGGAATGGCAGTGAACGTCTGTAACCCAGAAGGGGGCAGAGACAGGAGGATCCAAGGAGTGAGGAAGGGGACACAGAGAAAGACAAAGACAGAGAGATAGATTGATTTAACAAGAAAGGCAGTCTTGAGAATGGAAGTGTGTTAAAGCTGGGAAAGATCCAAGAGTCAAAGTGTTTATTTTGAGGTAAGTTTTTGCTATAAGCCCTCAGTCTTCCAAGAGCTAGGATAACAGTCCCAAGCCACCTCGCCATACTCCGTATACAATTTAAAACTTATGTGTGGGGGCTGGAGAGATGGCTCAGCGGTTAAGAGCACTGACTGTTCTTCCAGAGGTCCTGAGTTCAATTCCTAGCAACCACATGGTGGCTCACAACCCTCTGTAATGAGATCTGGTGCCCTCTGCTGGCATACAGGCAGAAGACTGTATAGACTGTATACATAATAAATAAATAAATAAATAAATAAATAAATAAATAAATAAATAAATAAAATCTAAAAAAAAAAAAATTATGAGTGTGGACCAACAAGATGGCTCAGAGGGTAAAGGGGCTTGCCACACAAGCCTGACTACCTGAGTTCAATCCCCAGAACCCACATCAAAGTGAAAGGGAAAAAAAGTCTATAGATTTGTCCTCTGACCTCCATGTGTGTCATGGCATGTCCCTTCCTACTACTACTACAACACACACACACACACACACACACTTCAATAAAACATATTAAAAATTCTTTATGGTTGTACACTTCCTGATCTTCGTAACTCTGAAGGCAGATTCAGGAAGATCTCAAGTTAGAGGTTAGTAGCCTGGGCTATGTGGTGAGACCCAGTCTCCAAAAGCCAAAGCATGGCTGGAGTGATGGCCCGGTGGTTAAGAGCACTGTTGCAGAGGACCCAGGTTCAGTTCCCAGCACCCACATGGAGGCTCCCAGCCATCTGTAACTCCAGTTCCAAGGCTTCTGATGCTCCCCACTAGCTTCTGTAGGCTGCAGATGCATGTGTTTCACATATATACATGTAGGCAAACACATGTAAAAATGAAATCCAAACTGAGCATGGTGACACATGTCTCGGGAAGATCTCTGAAGGCCAGCCTGGTCTACATAGGGGTGCCCTGCCTCAAAACCAAAAATAAACAAATAAATAAATCTAAACAATATTTTAAAAGCCAAAACAAACAAACAAAAACAACCAAAACCAATCTGTGAATTGTCTATTTTTGGAAATTTCCATTTAATATGTCAAACCAAAGGCAATTACAGGTAATTGAAACCAGAGAAAGAAAAACTTTGAGGCAGGAGGGTGCTGTTTATGATTTGGATAAGAAAAGACCAGAAAGGCAGACAGATGAGGCCATTTTTAGTGTCAGAGGATGGTGCTGGACCACTGCTCTCCTAGGGCCAGTTTCCACCCACACAGAGTGAGTCAAAATGGAGTCAGAACTGTCAGGGCAGATTAGTACCAAGATAGGGTCAGACTTGGGCTAAAAAAGAACTAGAGGAAGAAGAGTCACAGAGACTGAGGCAAGAACCACAAATCAGTTCAAGGTCAGCATGGGAGAGCACAGAGTCAGTCAGTCAGTCTGTCTGTCTGTCTGTCTCCTCTGTCCTCTCTCTCTCTCTCTCATTCTCTCTCTCTCTCTCTCTCTCTCTCTCTCACACACACCAAAACTAGTTTTGAAGAGGTGGGGGAAGAGTGCTTGCCTGGCATGCACAAAGTCTTGGGTTCCATCTCAGCCCTGCTTAAGTCAGGTGTGCAGTGCCAACATTCGGGAAGTAGAGGCAGGAGAAGCAGAAGTGCAAGATCCGAAGGCAAAAAGGAAGAAAAACACAAGCAAGAACCCACTCATGACTACACAGTGAGTTCAAAGCCAACTGGGCCACACAGAAAAGAAGTTGAGTGAGAAGGGACCCTAGAGAAGCGTGAAGATCAACAGGGCTCAGAACCAGGTAGGATCAAAGGTCATGAGATCAGGATAAAGATGGCACTTTGGTACAGCATCATAGGTGATATTTGGAGAGCTTTGGAGGTCAAGAAAGTTTGCTGGTCAGGGGTTGGTGTCTTGGTGAGGTCAGAAACAGGTAATGGGGTCATAGCTAGGTCAGGACACTACAAGGGACACACATAGTACATACATAGTACACAGTATAGGGTTCTCCCAGTGGGGGAGTCGGAGGCATGCTGGGGATCAGGGCAGAGCCCGCGTGACCCCCAAAGTAGTCCCCTGTCCCTCATCGCCAGGTTCTCCCCAATCGCCATCGATGGCATGAGTGGCCTGGCAGGTGTGGGCTTGTCCGGAGGTGCTGCAGGCGCTGGCTGGTGCATCTTCGTGTACAACCTGTCCCCGGAAGCCGATGAGAGCGTGCTATGGCAGCTTTTCGGACCCTTTGGGGCAGTCACCAATGTCAAGGTCATCCGAGATTTCACCACCAACAAGTGCAAGGGCTTCGGCTTCGTCACCATGACCAACTACGACGAGGCAGCCATGGCCATCGCCAGCCTCAACGGCTATCGCCTGGGTGAGCGCGTGCTGCAGGTGTCCTTCAAGACCAGCAAGCAGCACAAGGCTTGAGCATTCACCGCCCTCCCTCCCTCCCCGGGCAGCAGAGAGAGAGAGAGAAAGAGGGAGAGAGAGAGAGAGAGAGAGAGAGAGAGAGAGAGAGAGAGAAAGCGTGATTGCAAGAGCAGGAAGACCCACACACTTGCAAAAACCACCACAGGGTGAGCATTGGGATGGGAGGGCCTGCAGGGAATCGAGGGGGAGGGGTCCCCCACCTTGTCCTCCCTGCTTTCCCCACCAGCTGGGACTTGTTCACTCTCTCGTCTTGGTTTGGTTCATGGTGATGGCTTTTGTTTCTTTTTTCGGCTAAAAACAAAAAGAAAGCAGAGAGGAGACCCCCCCCATCCCACCTCACCCTCACCCCCCTGCATGGGATGGCTTAGGGGACACAGCAGTGCCCACCCAGGCCTCCCATGCCCAGGCCTGTCCTATACCGAGAGAAAGGGGAGGGAACAGGTTTAAAAATCCCCAAAACAGCAAAAAACATGAAAGAGGGGTGTGGGCATCCCCATCCCCTGCCCTAGTCCCTGGGCAGAAAACAGGGAGCAGGGTTGGGGCAGGGCAGGAAGCAGAAACAAAATGAAAAAAAAAAAAAAGGGTGGGGTGGGGTGGGAGGGGAAGAAAAACTCTATTTTTGTAAAAAGGGAAAAAGACCTCGTGGAGAATTTTTACTGGGGATTCTTGAACTTGAAAAAAAAAAATCACAAAAAGACAAAAAAAAAAAAAAGAAACTATTTTGGCAAGTTATGTTTACCAACTAACTGGGGCAGGGGGTGCAGGGAACAGGGCTGAGGGGTTGAAAGTCCATAGGGCCGCCAGTACACACACACACATACACACACACACACACACACATACACACACACACACACACATACACACACACACACACACACACACACAGCCACAAGAAGACAGGAGGGACATACACTTGGACCTTGGAGACACAGATAAACAACTATACAACACATACAGAAACATTTCAGAATACATTCAGAAAGGTTGACCAAACCCACACCAAAGGATGGAAACATACAGACAGAACCTTGGGGCTGCAGAAACATAGATACAGACATTGGCTTCTTGTCCACAAAACCATGTGATGTATGAAAACCGCTGTGAGAGATCCATTCGGATGTAGGAATCTAGACACAAGTTCCCAAAGAGAGCTAGGGATGTTGCTCGGTTGGTGGAGTACTTGTATAGCTTACATGAAGCCTGGGTTCATCCCCACACTGTGTAACCCTGCTGTGGTGGTACACAGTCTTCATTCATCATAGCACATGAGAGGTCAAGACTAGCTTTGACTACATAGTGAGTTTGAGGTCAGCCTGGGCTACATAAGACCCTGTCTCAAAACACAAAAACAAAAACAAATAGGTCACCTAGAAACATACAACACCTAGGGACATACATCCATGTTCAGAGCATCCTAAAGGCCCTGACAGGACGTTCCCACTGGAGACCCTGACCCAGTTACTTCCTCCAGCCAGGTTGGTCCAGCTACTTCTCCCTGGGCCCCCAACATGCCCCAGCCCCAGGTTCTCTGCACAGACTCCTTAGCCCACCAGGGGTCTCCCTGATGCCCACCAGGCGTACACACATGGCGTCCATGCATCCAAACACACAATACCTCGTTCTACTTTGGCATCACCGTGGGCTGGAGGGGGCTCTCACTCCCCACAACACTGAGGCCAAAGGACCCCCTGCCCCTGGGGCTCACCCTCCCTGGATCTACGGGGAGGTCTGCAGTCTCCTCCTTCAACTAGGGCCAGCGTGCTCCCCACCGCAGTAAGCACCCAGCACACCAACCCCAGACCCAGGGGTGGATGGGCCCAAGCTGCCCCCCACACCCCTTCCCATCAACGTGTCACCCTCTTTAGGTTGTTGGGTTTTTTTGTCTTTCCAGACTGTGGGGGAGCCATGGATGCAGCCTTCATGAGCCCTGGCCCTGGCTTCTAACTGGATTTTGCATCCATAACCCCACACTCTTTTTATTCTTTTATGCAAGTTCCAACAGAAGCCACAGGCTGGAGCCCCTGGGAGCCCTAAACCTTCAACCCACCCCTCAGTGGGCCCAGTCACAACCGAGAATCGTGAAGCCCCACCCCACCCCCCTCTACACTCTAGTTCTAGTTGCTCTCTTCCGGTGTCCTCTGCGTTTGGTGTCTGGCCACGGCCCCATTTGAGCGTCCAACTCTCTCTCCCCACCCCTCCTGGTGTTGTTCTTAACCGTCTGTGGAGTTTCTGCTGCAAGGAACAAAAAGAAAAAAAAATTAAAAAAAGACCAAAAAATAAAAAATGAAAAAAAAAAAAGAAAGAAAACTCAAACAAGATGAAATATAGCAACAGGAAAGAAAGAAAAAAAGACAAACACACACACAAAGATGACTTAAAAACAAACAAAAAAAAAAAAGGAAAAAAAAAGATAAACTGTCACCAGTTAACTTTCTTGTACTTTTTTGCTGAATTTAGCTTCATGTAGTTTTAACTTATTGCTGTGTTAACTATTTATTACCCTTGTTGGCCTGTAAGGACCTTTCTGTATATTTCTGTTCTTTCATTGGTTTGCAAGTTGAAGGAAGATGTTCCTTTTCTTTCAGTTTTGCTGAGATGTGGTTATGCCTAATTTATTTATAAAAAGGGGAAGTGGAGTCATTAAAGTAATAATTATTAATAACAGTAATGGTAGCGGAGTGCCCCCTGGGGGTGCCGTGGGCTCCAAGGGGTGGGGTCCCCACAGCTGTCGGTGCCCAGGGGCTCTCAACGGGATTGTTTTGCTATTGTCTTGAGAAGTTTTCTGTCTATTTAGCTGGTGAACTCTAGCTTGCTCACAATACACCAAACCTATTTATTCTGGTGGTTTCTAAGTCTGCCCTAATCCTCCCCCTTCCCTCCCAGCAGGACAGGGACTCCCCGCCTCCAGGAGGGGCTGACCCCTTCTTTCCCTGCTGTTTCTGGGGTCTCCCCCTGCCCTCCACACATGCTGGAGGCAACGAGCAATAAGGGCTGGGTTTGTCCCCCACCCTGGGGGGAGGGAGGGCTCTAAAGAGGGGGTCCCTCCCCTCCCTCTACCCCCTCCCACCAAGGCCTAGGTCCCTGCTGCCCCTAAGACTAGGAGGAGGGGACTTTTTTTTCTAAGACACAAGCTTAGCCCAGCCAGGCCCCCTCCCTGGAGGCCAGTCCCCCAAGAGGACCAGGCCAAGGGCTCCCAGGGAGAGGGGCCCTTGGTTCTTCCAAAGTCCCTGGGGGCCAGGGGCAGGGCCAGTGGGGAGGGGGCTCAGCCCCTCCAACCCTTCGTCATCCTGTTTATTGGGAAAGTTTCAAACCATGACAGAGTCCATGTTGGAGGTGATATAATGAACTGTAGAAAAACAAAAACAAACAAACAAAAAAACAAACCTCAACCCAAACCCACGAACACTTCAAGTTGCGTTTAGACTATTTATTACCGAGATTCCAGGCCTGGCCGCGGTAACTGACTTTTACATGGAATTGTTTAATTATTTGTACTTTTCATGCCAGAAAATAAAAAGTTCAGAATCTTAAGTCTCAGGTGATTTGTGTGCCCCTGTGGGCAGGGTTGGTAGGAGGTCCCTGTGCTGGGAAACTAGGGAAGGACACCATCCCTCCCTGGGCTGGGGTCTATAATGATTGTATGGGAGGCTCCAGAAGTTGACAGTAGCCTACTATCTACCAATCACTAGGTGCTGGGCGTCTTCCCCCAGCAAGGTGCTGCAAGGATCTGCACATAGCTGCTTCCCCTGAGTGTTAACTGTAAATGTGACCGGACACTTGACGCAACTCAAGAGAACAGTCCGTCATGGCAGGAAGGCCTGCAGCAGAAGCCTGAGGCTCTGGCACTGCTGTCAGGGGGCAGAGGTGGCTACAGGGCTTAGGGTACATGCCACCAAGCCTGACCTCAGCTCCCTCGCTGGACCTACAGCCAGAAGTCTGTCTCCTGGGCAACTCTAGGTCCTGTCAACAGCAGTGCCTGCCACACCACATCTGCTGTCTGCTCACACTGTCCTGTTCTGTACCCTGAAGTGAAGCAGACCTAGCCAGGTGCACTACCCTACACCTTGGGAGACTGAGGCAGGAGTCATCTGATGCTAGTCTGGACTACACAGAACAACAAGGGAAAAGGCACACACAGCCAATGTGGGTAAGTCACATTTATTGTTCTGAGGTCACATATCAAGTCATCCAGTCATCACCCACCAGCTGGGGAGGCAGGGGTGAGGGGGGCAGGGATTAACTCCCACCCAGAAATCCAAGGAGGGTGAGCTCCTTTATCCATCTCTGGAGGCCGCTGGGGCCTCAGGAACATGGATGGCTTGGCTAGCCTGGGCCAGAGCAGGGCTTAGAGCCCACAGGGTTCCTGCTACCTGGAGGATAGCCAGGGATCCCTGGGTAGGCAGGCCTTGGTCCACAGACTGCAGGATGAGTAGATTGGTTTCAAGCCTTGAGGTTCTAGGATAGAGTACAGAATTAGAAACATGGGGGGGTGGGGGCTGGATTAGTGCAAAAGCAAGCATGTAGGAGGCCCTAGATCCCACCCCGGCATTAGAAAACTACAACTGTCTGCCTAGCAAAGAAAGCCCTGAGTTCAGTTATCAGTACCTCGTACACTGGGCGTGGTAGTTGGCACAGAGGAGGCAGGACTGACAGATGCTCGAGGCCAGTCTGAACTACACAACAAAACTGTCCCTTTTGTTTCTGAAGACAGGGTTTTTCTGTGTAGCCCCGACTTTCCTAGAACTCACAGAGATACGCCTGCCTCTGCCTCCCATGTGCTGGGATTAAAGGAATGCACTACCACCTGGCAATAAAACTCTCTTAAGCACTTGGAAGGTAGAGGTAGGCAGGTCTCTGTAGATTTGAGGCCAACCTGGTTTATACAGTGAGTTCCAGGAAAGCAGGGGCTATGCACAGAGAGATCCTGTGTCAAAAAAAATTCCCAAAAATCTATCTAAGAAAACATGGGCCTACCAAGATGATTCAATTGGGCCCACGTGGTGGG